TGGAAAGAGTTTCACGATAGACATAGTGTTAAGAATAAAGAATCTATTGGTGTAGGAGATTTTGTACTCGTATATGATTCCACTCTTGATAATTCACCTAAAAAATTTGATTACCGATGGAATGGGCCCTATATAGTAAGGAAAGTGGGTAGTCATAATCAGCTATATCTGATGGAAGTAGACGGAAGTGAGTTGCGGGAGCCTTTTACTAGAAATAGGGTTAAGAAACTAAAGAGAAGATCAAAATTTACAGATGTCGAACCGATCGTAAATAAGGTTGGCTTCGGGGACGAAGGCCAGGGAGGGTCTAGCTCCTGTCACGAGCAGGATTGGTTCTCTGAAGAAATTTGGATCCCGAAACATGTAGTAAGAGGTGTGACAATAGAGGGAGGATGTGCATAAAAAAAAAAAAAAAAAAAAAAAAAATAATAATAATAATACATAATAATAACAATTATAAGTAGTAAGTAATAACGGATAATTATGGATTATACTTATACTTTCACGTTCAAAAGATTCGAAGATACGGTCGCCTACTTACATATTGTATCATGGGTGATTAATTATCCGAGACAATTATGATAAGAATAAGGATCAGTTAAGGTGCATAAAAAATATGTAATTAAGATAATAGTCAAATAGCGCATGATTGATTTATTATGTAATTAAGTTGTAAATTAAATATTGTATGATATATTATGATGTAATTAATTTGAAGTTAAAAGATATATAAGCAAAATTAAAAGAATAAAGAAAAAATAGTTACATTCGACTCTCATAGATAACAAATTAAAAAGAAAATTAATCAAAATCAACTTCTGCAAAACACCGTGACAATACTAATATTGAAAAATTAGACCAAATTTTCAAATGACATAAAAGTACAAATCCTCCTTGGAAGTATTTTAATCAGTTCTCCTCTGATAAAGATTATATTCATTATAGCCTGTGCAATGCTAGATATAGAAATAGAACTAGCATTAGTACAATTAAATAGCATTTTAAAATCATCATATAGATGAATACTAACAATACTAACAGACATTATCTCTATAAGCTATTGAATATTATAGTATTTATGATAAAAAAAAAGTTACTAAATTAAATAGGCTTCTGATTCATTGGATTATTTGTAACTAACAAGCATTTTGTGTGGTAGAAAATGAGGCCTTTCAAATATTTGTTTTTGAACTTGACTCTCAGTATAAACTTTCTACAAGACAAATAATTTCGATTTATGTTAGGTAGTTATATGAACTAAAACAAAAAAAGCTATACAACTATTTTAAAAATTTTAGACATAAGGTTTTAATAACAACTAATACATAGTCTGCATATATAAACTAAGCATTTCTTGCAATTACATTGCACTGAATTGACAAAGATTAGCAATTGCAATACATACTTTTTGACTTTATCCCTCTTCACAAATGATATACAGGTTAGTGTTTATTAAAATCTAAAAAAAAAAATTTAAATTAGCAATAGTAAAATTTTAATTGCATTTTTTTGTCCATACAATTATTATTATAGATTTCTTCCTAGCAGAAACAATTTTTAAAATAATTGAGAAGTTTGGTCTAGAAAAAAAACTTTTATCAGTAACTGCTAACAATGCTAAAAATATAGATACTTGTTGCAGAAGTCTAGCAAATATGTTAGAATTTCATTATAGAAATACTACTTTCTGTAGATTACAATATGCTGCTCATATTCTAAATCTTGCTATTGTGAATAGCCTTTTTGAAATTAATGAATCAACTAAGAAAGCATGAGAATTTGCAAGCTGTATTCGTTACTCTAAGCTATATTTAGAAGAATTAAAAAAAATCTGCAAAATGAAAGAAAAACCATTTTTAGTACTTGACTTTGATTGTGAAACTCATTAAAATTTGATGTACCTAATGTTAAATAAATTATGTAAAATTAAAGAAATAACAAATAAATTAGTAAATTCAAATCTACAACTTCAACTCTAATATATAAATGAACATGATTGGAATAATATTAAAGATGTAATGAAACTGTTAGAACCTATCTAAGAAGCTACCAACTTACTTTCCTCATCAAGTTACCCAACTATCAGAAACATGCATATAGCTTTCTTTGTAATTATTACTCTTCTCACCAGAGCACAAAATGATGAAATAAATTTAGTAAAATTATGTATCTCTAAAAAAATTCTTGAAAAACTCAATAAATATTAGAATGAATTATAGTCTGCCTTTCCAGAAGCCATATTGCTTAATCCATTGTCTAAATTTTCTACTTTTAGTTCTAGTTCTGAAAAAGAAAAAGTGCATCAGATAATTCATAAAATATATAAACATTATGCATCTCATTTACATGTTATTAGCGAACAAATTTTAGAACTCAACTAGTTAATTGCTACTCATAACTACTTCTGAATCCAGTTAAAATGAACCTATGAAGATATGTTATTTAGTGATAATATGAATACATTAGATGAATATTTAAGTATACCTGATGAAAATGTTAATGCTCTTGCATTTTGGAAATCTAAATCACAAAACTTACTATAGTTACCTCTCATTAAAATAGCCTAGAACTACCTTATCACACAATCAACAAGTGTTCTGAGTAAACAGATCTTCTCAATTGCAAAACATATATTAAGTGAAGTAAGAAACTGTCTAGATGATAAAAAGGTACATGCAAGCATGTGTTTGAAAACATAGTACGATTCAGGGCTAATAAAAAATAAAGTAGTGCTTTCTTTAAATTAGTATAATAGTTGTATACGTGTTTTGTAATAAAAAAATAAAAAAAGTGTATTACAAATTCCAATAGTAATAAAAAAATGTAGTTATCATTATATATTAAACTGTTGGGGTCATACTGGTCTCATACAGGGGTATGAACTAGTTTCTAACTAGTTCAGAATTAGGACCAGCTAGGACCGGACTGGACTGTATATTTAACATCCCTATATAAGATTGATAGCTCCTATAAGCACGGGATTTCTAAAAAAGTTAAAGATTGACTTAGTCGTAAAATTGGACTGCGGCTAAGTTATATAGTTCCGAAAAGAAAGCTCAGAACCTAATTCTCTCATGTGACACTAGTGATGAGCCTGCACAAGATCCACGTGGGATTATGTGCGGATCTGTGCATAAAATGCGCATGATTTTTTGAATCCTAGTTGGCCTGCATTAACATAATTTTAAGAAACCCATAATGTATTTCTATTCTGCGCATCACACACAGATCACACGCATAACTTGCATTCCGCGTGGGATATTTATGAAAACTGTGATTTGCCCATCACTACTTATCCCTAATTATTAGGTAACATCATCTATCTCTCCTGATTAACTGTCCCCCTAGAAATTAAACAAGCCAATTACAACTATAGTTGTTAGGTGAAACTGTTTTACGAAAATAGCGAAAGATGAAACCTAGGAGGCAAAAGGACAAAAGGTGACAAAACCTTGGTGAAAGGCAAAACCCCTGGCAAAAAGTGAAACCTCTGGCGAATAATGAAACCTCTGGCAAACATAAAATGAATAGTAAAAAAAAAAAAAAAAGCCAAGTTATAGTGGGTAAACAAAAAAAAAAAAATTCCTCAATGTTTTGAGACATGTATATAGTTGTTAGGCAAAACTGTTTTACAAAAATAGCAAAAGATGAAACCTAAACCCAAAAAAGGTGAAACTGACAAAACTCTGGTGAAAGACGAAACCTCTGGTAAAAGATGAAACCCCTGGTGAAAGGTGAAACCCTGGTGAAAAGATGAAACCTCTGATGAAAGGTGAACTAGTGAAGATGAAACCCTGGTGAAAACGAAACGACTGGTATCTGAACTTTAATAAAAGCGAAGCTAAAGGAGATAAACAAAAAAATAATTTCATTAGCTATATATTGTTTTGAAAGATCAAATAGTTAGTTCTTTAAACTCTATCTCATCTCAGCAACTATCTAATCAAATTCAATGAAATTTTTTTTATTTTAATTCTATGAATTTGCAAAAAAATTTTCATCGAAATTAACTAGGTATTTGTCAAGATATATTGTTCGAAAAGTTAGCAAACAATTAAAAACATCTAAAATAAAAGATGCGCCAAAATTTCGAACATCCGCCTGATAAAATTTAATGAACCTTTTTTTATTGCCATTTTTAAATCTGTAGAATTAGAAAAAAAATTTTTATCGAATTTGGTCTGGTAGCTTCGAGATAGCTTCGTTCAAAGTTTTAAAAAATTCCGGTTTATTTTATTAGAAGCTTTGAGATGTTTTAATATAAGCAATGACTTCTCAATAACCGCTTGATCAATTCAATGAAACTTTTTTCTTTCAATTCTAAAAACAAATTTATTTATTTCGTTTAAATTATTTAGATTTTTTCAATTTAAATTTATATCTTTAATTCGTGATCCGCGTAAGAACCAGTTAAACATCATAGTAAAAAGTTGAAAATTTTACTATTAAATTTTGACTTTTTTGGAATCTGAAGGTCCAAAAGATAACTTATTTTAAGTAAACCTCTGCTTCTAATAAAAGTTGTAGAGGAAAAATTTCAGTTATAATGGTTGTTAAAATGGCCTAGTGGATTATGAGATATGAGCGTTTTAGTCTTCGCGGCTATATGTTTATTTTGGTTTGATTATACAGACTAAAACGCTCATATCACGTGATCCACTGGCCGATTTTAGCGTTTTGACAACCATTATGACTGGAATTTTTTTTCTCTACAACTTTTATTAGAAACATAAATGAGGTTTACTTAATAAAGAAAATAAGTTATCTTTTGGAAACCTTCAGATTCCAAAAAAGGCAAAAAATATATACCTTTTACTATGATATTTCACTAGTTCTTACACGGATCACGAGTTAAATATTAAATAAAATTTTATTTACTAAAATGCACCATAGTGAACACCATTAGTTGTTATATTTACGATTTTTCAAATTTCATGCGCATTATACGCAGAGTTGTAAAATTACCATAATTTATAAGTTACAGCAAAGAATAAAAATTTTAATTGACTAAACCAAAATCTTTCGGCTTATTCATTCTAAAATTTTTCTCAAACTTGCTCGTTTTTTTATATTCATTCATAGTCTACCTTAGAACTTTTCAGAGTCCTTCTCTTAGCATTAATGTCAGCCAAACTAAATCTTAAAGCTGGCCAGAATTTATCTTAACTCCGCAGTAATTGGCATGGGCAGAAATCAAGTGATTCTACACCGCATATGAAACAATGAGATTAAATAGAATATAAGCCAATAAGATATAAAATATAGTGATTACTAAGATTAAAAGTGATGATTTGATTAGTTGCTTATGAGTTTTTATAACCAATTTATGAGTAGTGCTCTGAACTGATTAGCTAGAATACTCCAAAACTAATCTAAACCTGGATCATTTGAGCTAAGCTATTTATGAGTATCACTTTGTTATCACCTAATTTTGCATTTCAACTAAAAATTTCTACTCATATGATAATTCTAAGAAATCAGCACATGAAATTTTGGTTTGCATTATGCTAATGCAGAGTGGCTTGGTCAGTAATTAAATTACCATTTGTCAGTTTTGCCACCTTTTATTAGTTTTATTACCTTTTACTAGTTTTAGTACCTTTTGCTAGTTTTGTCACCTTTTGCTAGTTTCACTATTTTAAAATTTTTTAGCAAAAGTCAAAACTAGGTTTTACTTTTCACCAATAGCAAAACCTTTAGATTTTATCTAATAACTATATTTATTATATGTATAATATGACAATTTCTAGTAATATCTATAAATTTCTGAATTAGATATTTATTATTATTAATAAAAAATTATTATAGAAAATATTATCTTTATATTAGTTCATTGAGTAGGCTAGACTTAATAATTCTAATTGCATTTAAGATAGATAAGACATATATTTCTTTCAATATGATCTAATTTATTATCAATTTGATCTACTATTTATTGATTAGAATTTCTAGTTTTATCCTATTTTTATAACATTTTATTGAAGCATAATTCATATTTATTTTTTTGCAAATTTTTTATTATAGAGGAACCTCTCTAAATACACCCTCTTGAGACTATAAAAATTTTTTTTAAAAAAGTATATTTATAGAGAAAGTGCATTTATAGTAAGGTACAGAATGAGTAGGCTTTTGGGCCCAATAGGCTTTAAAATATTAGGGTTTTACTAATTAAAATTATTATTACACTAATTTTAATTAGTAAAACTCTAATATTTTAAAGCCTGTTGAGTCTAAAAGCCTGCTCATTCTGTACCCTAATTTATAGAAAGAAATTTTATATATATTATATATACTTGGAACTAGACTAGCAGATATATTTAGAGAGAATTTATATAGTTTGTGTATTTATGAAGAGTGTATTTAAAAAGATTTCTCTATACAAGGATATAATTAACAGATAAGTTAAATTCATAATATTTTTTCTTATTTTGATCTATATATCTTATAAATTTTCTAAAAATAAATAGTCTTAAGGATTACTTAATTGCTTTCTTATTTTTTGCTTCCTCAATCTCAAGAAGTAATAGGAGACTTTTAATTTAAATAAGCTAGTTTAAATATTCTACATGACTAACTATAAGATATATTAAATTATTCTATATCAAATATTTATTGATAATCTAAACTTATTGTGAAGAGATATATTTATTTACTATTGATTATAAAAAATAAATATATTTATTACAATAAGTAGAATGATTTAATTAAGTAATATTCTTCTAGAATTTTATAATTACTAAATAAGTATATTGTAATTCTCTCTTAATCTATTCACAATTTTGAATTTAATAGGTTAATATTTTTCTTTGTCTACTTTATCTTATATATTTGATTTCTGTAACTTCAAAGGAATTGTATAGTTCTAGGTATATCTTTTTTTTTCTCTAAAATACAGTCTTCAAATATTTTATAGGTAAGCTCTTTCTTGATAAGAGATTTTTTAAGACCTTTTGCTTTTATAATATTTTTTTGTAGATTTTCTGTAATAATACTGTAATATTTTATATGAACTTCTGCATAGCTAATAGCTCAATCTTCTCCATTCTTATTATATATATCACTCACAAAATATAATAATTATATACAACTTATCTAATAACTTAGGCCCTATAGGGTATCCTTCAAGTATTGCACAAATTGAATTACTTTATTCTAGAGTATATAGTCATTAAATTAAATAAGTCTAAATATTCTAAATACAATATAATTTATAAATATATCTAGTTTTGATATCACTACTATTATTAATAAAAAAGATAAAATACTTCCTAAACTATATATTAATTATTCTAGTTTTGATATAAAGTATACTATATCATATATATTATATTATAGTGAAACTTATACTAATAAACTCAATCAAATTTTTGATAATAAGAGATTATTTGACACTTTATCTACTATAAAACAGAATAAAACATCTGTTCAATGAGCAATACAAGTAAGAATTCTATTATAAGATTTGTTAAATTTAGAAAAATTTAGTATATATTATTGATATTGTTTATTTATATCATATGATAAAAGTAAATTTAATAATTTTTATTATCATAGGCCAAGAATCTATAAAAGTTATATAGCTATTTGCTTCAATTACTAGAAACTTATAAAAATTGATAATGTAAATTCTAAAAAATTATTATATTTTACTAGATAGAGATATATTAATCATTTCAAACTTAAAGATCTAATGCAAAAACATTAGAATTATAAATGTGATAAACTAAAGACTGATTTTGAAAAAGCAAGAATTATACAAATAGCTTATCAAAATTATAAGAATAGACCTAAATTGTTAGCAATTCAAGCTTAGAATGCAATAAGAAATGATAGTACTCCTAATAATAAGAAATTTCTAGATTTAACTACTTGTAAAGTGAAAAATTCTCAAATTCAAGAACAATTCAATTTGTAAAATACTAAGCAAATTGCAATGTATAGAAGATATAACTTTAATATAGTTAGCTACTTTATTAATAATAAATATGAAGAATATTATATTTTATATAATTAGATAAGTAGAAAGAAAAACTAATTACAGAATAAATTGCAGAAACATTTTTTAGAATTTACAGTATAATATATATTTAAAGTTTTGCATATGAGCCTATTTCACAAAGTACAAAAACTTCTTATTGTAAATAATATATTAAGTTTATTTTTTTATATCTATCTCAATTTCAACATAGGCTAGAGACTTGTATTTTCTTAATAATATAAAAAGTAACAAGTAGAATGAATTATATTATTGTATTAATAAATAATAAAGAAAAAAATAATTATTTAATTATAAAAGCTTATTCTACTTATCTAATTTTAAAGCAATATTCTA